TTTCCTCTATAGAGTCTCATTTATCCACAATGGGAGCTCAACAATTAGAGATTCTTCGGGAGATGCGTGCAAACAATGAATCAACCAACGCTCGTATCAATGAACTCACACACGAGATGGCCGCTATGCGAGCCCGTTTTCCTCCTACCGATCCGGATGCTTGATTTTATGTTTAGCTTTAAAACCTTGAACAAAATGAATATTGTTTCAACATTTTGATATGTTTGATTTTGTGGATTGTTGGATTTTGGATATATGAATGGTGTGAACTTATATGTTTGGTTTGTTTTATTCATTTTTGCATCATTTACATTATCATTAGCAATATGACCAATTTTGCCATATCACATTATTTATGAATATTGATTTATGAAACTAATGGCTAACCTCTCTTTTGATTATGATCTTAGCAGCTTAAGCTTATAATTAATAAATCAATTGTCTAAATGATTTACAAAACCTTGTTTTACAATGACTTTTTGATTTAACAAAAAGGGGGAGAAGAATTAAGTGTTAAAGTAAGGGGGAGTAATTTCTAATAATTTCTAATTTCAAAACTTGATTTCAAAAATCTTAAAATTACTAAAATGTTTTGTTATATCAAAAAGGGGGAGATTGTTGAAACATTTTAATATTTCGATATAACAAATTAAGTTAAATGGATTTTAAGATTTTCCAAATGATTTTCTAAGTATATTCGATATAACTATTCGAATATCAAAACATTACTCCAAATATTTCAAAAATCATTTTTGATCCTTACTTAAGTGTAAAATTAAGTTTTAATCATAAAACAATTTCAAAATATTTTATAAAGTATTTCGAACCAATTCAAAGCCAAAAATTCCAGATTACTCAGAGGGAACCGATTCCCCCCCATAGGAGGAACCGATTCCCCCCTGAATGGTTTGGCTCCGAGATTTCCAGAATGCTCGGAGGGAACCGATTCCCCCCCAAGGGGGTACCGATTCCCCCTTGTTCAACGGTCGAAATATTTGAATTTTACACTTAGGGAACCGATTCCCTATGAGAGGGAACCGATTCCCCCCACTGTCCAAGCTGTTTTATTAAATGTTTTCACACTAAAACGGCTATAATATCTTCTCTAATTATCCCCAACGTTCAGAAGTGATCCAAGGTGTATTTAAGCAAGCTTAGAAGCCATTGATCAAAAATAAGAAACATCAAGCAACTAGAATCAAGAGAGAATCAAAGAGAAAGCATCAAACCTCAAGTTTGAGCATTTCAAGCCCATTTTCATTCAATATTCATTTTGCTTTCAAGAACACTTTTTGTGCTCAATTGTATTCATCTTTGAGTATTCTTTTCTTTGTTCTAGAATTGTGCAAACATCTTACCTTGTGAGGTTTTCTTGTAAGTTTGCAAATTTGTAATCTTCTCTTTGAGAAAAGAGTGTTCTCAAGAGTTGGGGTATACTCTTGAGGAAATTGTAAGGTTATCTCTTTGGCCTCAAAAGAAAGAACAAATTAGTGAATTTGTTGGAAAATCCTTAGTGTGGATAGCTAAGGTAGTGGACGTAGACTTTGTTTGAGAAAGTCGAACCACTGTAAATCGCTGTGCAATTGCTTTCAATTTTCTGCAAAAGCTTCCACAAAATTTTTATTGCCAATTCACCCCCCTCTTGGCCAATTTCGTCATTCGATTAACTCAACATCGACCTCCCTCTTTAGCTCGACCACCTCAGAATCGGAACCCTTACTCTTGAGTTCCTCAACTTCCTTCCTTAAAGCCACTACCATGGCTTCTAAGGAATCACCTCGATCAGTTACCTTCACATCCAAATCGTTGAGTGAATCCTGAACCTCCTCCCTGATACTCTCCAAGGACTCCAGCTTATCGAGATCCAACGATCCCAGCTTTTCAAGGTCTACGGACTCTAGCACATCCAGCACTACCTTGGCTTCCGTCATGGAACCCTCGAGCCTGGTAACCTTCTCCTGGATGGACGTGAGAACATCTTTCGAGGGTGCTCTCTTCTTTCCAGCATTGCGGGTTTCATTCCCATCAGAACCCGTCGCTTCACCATGTTGTGGTGCCATCTCGAACCAACGAAAATAAAAAAGAAATAGGCTCTGATACCACTTGTCACGGGGCTAGACTGCTGCTAGCAAGCTCGTGCGGCCTTAGTCGTTTTCGAGGTCGAAACTCGGCTAAGTAACCCAAACCTTCACTAAGCGAGAATGCTTAGAACGTTGCAAAAACAAAGGAAATGGGAAAAATAGAGAGATGGATGCTCAAATGGAGAAGAGAGAGTTTAGAGTGAATGCTAACTTGTATTCCTCAATCTGAAGTGAGTAAATGAGGTGGGGGTGAGCCTCCTTTTATAGTTGGAGCCCCCTACAATCAACGGTTAAGATTAAATTACATCAACGGTCAGAAAAGAGCCCTACTCTATCTATAACTCTAAATTAAATAATAATTAGTGGGAATTATCTCTAAGATAATTTCAAATAATTATCATGCCTCTTCTCTCTCCAAGGTGGATGGGCCAGCTCTGCTGGGTCTTCTAGAAGGCCCAAAACGTGGCAAAGGTAGTCTCTGGCAGCCTTGAACGAACTGGGCTCGGTCTTGGGCTGGCGGTCTGTGACAAATACATTATATCAAAGTGCTTTATCCTTACACAGTTAAACTTTTATTAATCTGACTTAATCTGAATTTGTTTTGAAAACTTAATTCGCATGTTGCATGGTAATATTTTCATTTTTCCATTCCGACCATGGTATGCATGTGCATATTAACATTTGGCAAAAAAACATTACTTATTGGTGATTTGTTTTGCTTAGTTGGCATCACATGGGTTCATATTGTTTTATGTTAAAAGATCAAACTTGATTCTTTTGGTTTGGTAAGTTGAATGCATTTCTTATCTGGTAACACCTGATGAAAATTATAAGCATAAAATTTGATGAAATATCCTCTTAAAAAATTTCATTGGACTTAAAGCAGCTGCAAGACCCTGAATGTTCCCAAGATTTGTGGCTTTCATAAACCTTTTCTGATGTCACTGCTGAAATGAATGACATATCTAACACAGTGAAATTGTAGCTATCCCGTTGAACATGTCAAACAAGGAAGCAAGCCAAGCTGCACTTGCAAATTAATGCCAAAATCTGACCAGAAAGAAATTATAATGATTCCGAGTCGTTGGCAGCTTATTATACCAGTTTGCATAGTATATTAAAGGATAGTCAAATCTTCCGAGATAATGCATTTCCATTGAAATTCTCTTGGATTTATATACCTCATCATATCGGTTCTTCACTTACATACACTCCTATGATAAATAAAATACAAATAAAACTATTTGACATCTGAAAAAGAATAATTAACCGTAAAAAGCATCTCATAATATGGATTGTCAAAATACCTAAATCTGACGAGTCCCGACCCAACTCGATCAATAGGGGCGTTTCTTTTTTTTTTTTTGGAAATTTCGAGGATCGGGGCGGGACAGGTTATATACAAGATAGGTTTGGGGTAGGACGGGATAGGGTTTAAGGTGAAAAATCACATACCAGACCTAGTATAAAATATATAATATTTTGATTTTAAATATTTTTATTTTTATAGTGTTAAAATATATTATTTAATTATAAATATAAATTATTTAAATTGATATATTCGATTTGGGTCGAGGTTATAAAATAAAAATCAAAATGGGAAAAACTTAAAATTTATCGAGAAACGACATAATCTGATATTAATAAAATATTTTCGAATCAACGTTAAGACAGTCAAAAACCCGGCACGTGACTCGATAGAATTTAATTACGATGTACTATGAATTTTTCAAATAAAATAATCTTTAAATCAAATGGGAGCCTCAGCCTATCATATCTAACAGCTCATATTCAACCAACGGCTATTATATCTAACAGGAATATTTCGCTGGTTCGTTATTTTTGAATTTTTTCTCTCGGTATGTTGCATTTATTAATGTCACGGTGTTTCTTTTTCTTCACCGCCTTTTCTTTCTTTCTTATCTTCGAGGAACAATTTCAAGTCCAAAAAAACCCTCCTTTGCCTTGCGTTAATCCATCTCTTCCTATCCCCAAATCAAATCTCTTTCCAAAATTATACCCAAAAAGCCTTCCTACTTCAACTCTTCCCATTTCCATTCGATCGATTGCGTCGTCACCGGCTTCTTCTTTCGTTAGGGTTTTGTTTCTTTTCTTTCGGGGGTGCTGTTTTCCTTCAACGAACGGGAAATCTTTTTCTGTTTCGTTATTTTTGAATTTTTTTCTCGGTATGGACTATGAAGTTTGCGATAGTAGTGGTATGTTGCATTCATTAATGTCGTATTATTGTATTGAATAATGCATGGTGTTTCTGGGTTTCTTTTTCTTCACCCCCTTTTCTTTCTTTCATTTTTTTTTTTCGAATTGGAATATTGGGTAATGGGTGCATTTTGTTTTTGGGGTTGGGGTAAAATGAGGAAGGAGGGTGTAGGGTTTAAATGGGGTCATTGGCTACTTGTTCAATTTTATCAGGGAAATGATTTCTTGCGCTTTTCCTTTTTGGGTTTTGTTTGTTTCCTTCTTTTAGTTTTTATTTCCAAGCGTTTCTTTGAATTCTAATCGTGATTCAGAGAGAGAGAAATCCATGATATTAAAGCATTAAATTTTTTCACAGTTTGAAAGAAAAAGTTAATTTTCTTTCTCTTTCATTGTTCAATTACTTTTCCATAATACGTTAGATATTTAGTTGGTTGATACAATGAATTTTTCCTTAATATGCTATATATATATATTCTCTTGTGTGTTACCCATGATCTTCGTCATTGTTTTTGTCTCTTGTTGTTCTTTATTTTTGTTTTCAGGGACTGGTCTTTCTAAAAAGGATTGTGGTGAGTTACGGGAAAGATGCTTTTCTCTTCTTTTAGAGCTGCTACAGGTAATGCTATGTCCCTGAGAAAATAATTGCTATGTCCCTGCTGGTGACATGAGGTCTGGGTTTTTTTGGATACGTTGGGTAGCTACACTAATCAATTTTTGACTTTTGAATTTGTCTATCCTCTTTTAATTAGTCAAAGAATTCTATAATTGTGATAAAGGGGTTCTATTGAAATATCATGGAAGAAGTGATTCAGTTTTTTTAAACACATCACAAGGTAATGTCAGGTCTACTAACTAATCTATAATCTGTATCTTCTTCTCCCTCCTTTTTTTCACCTTGGTTTTCTCCACCATGCAGCTGTATGTGTTTTTGTTTTATAGTTCTTAACATCCTAAGTTGAGAAAAACAACATGGTCTAGTTTGTTTTAGGTTGATCAGTATTTATTTATACATGTTAGCAGATGATAAGTTGTCCATTTCGACAAAGCAACTCATTGAAATGCTGGTTTACGGAGTTTACACTTTTGGTGGACAGAGATTATTGTTCCTCTTCCTATAATATGTTTTCAGCTCTTTGAAAATGATAACTGGCTTAGCTCTTTGTCTGCTTTGGGCTATGCGTGCTTTGGCACTTGTCCGTATTTACCTAGTTAAATAACAGCTTCAGTAGTCTAATGTCAAATTTCTGATCTACATACCTTTTTTAGATTATATCCACCTTTCATTCAATATGAATCTTGTCTTTTGGGGTTTCTGGAGCTGTTAAAATCATTGTCGCTGACTATTTGGTTGATCTACTTTAAAAATAAAATTTGGGTTTGAAGGGGCCGTTTTGTTGCTAGTTAATATGTATTTGTGTATGTTTCATCATTGCCATGCATTGTATTGTTTGATCCTAAACCCTATTTACTTCAATGCAGGACAAGTACAAAGTATATAATCTTTTCTCTGAGAGGCTGTATGATGCTTCATTGTTTGAAGGAAAGGTATGTTGTTGGGGTAACTCACTATATGTTTACTTCCACCTGGGCTTTTTTTTGGTTAGCTGTTGTTGTGTGCCATGTGCCTATCATATAACTTTGATAAAAGATCTTCTTCGAGGTCTCTTAAGCAAATAACCATACCATGTTATGTTGGCTTTTGAAAATATTTTTTGACTTCCATTTGGTTGGACATGTGGATCAAATCAGAAAAATCAGCCTCTAATTTCTTCTTAAACTATTTGGCAATTGAATCCATTAGGAGTTGATGGACAAGAGTGTTTCACTCAATGATGAAAATCAATTGTTGGCAGAAGATAATTCTTAAGAAGAGTCAGTTCCACCTAATCTTTGACAAATCTTTATGACCATTTGTTTTCCTACTTGTTAATGCATAACAGCAAATGCAGCCTGTTAGAACTTACTGTAAGATGACCTATGTGAAATGAAATTATACATCTTATAGTTGATATCCAACTTTTTCTTCAGGTGGCTAGTTTCTCATTTGATGACCATAATTGCCCCTCCCCCAAATTCGATTGATCATATCCTTTTGTTAAAGTGCTTACTCGTGGCTGAAGGAGGATATTGAGAATGTTGTGGTTGTGGACCGTAAATCTGGGATGGTAAGGACAGGGTTGATGATCTCAAGCCTTCTATACTTGAAGGTTCGACCCAATGAACATGTTCTTGAAGAAATACGAGTGAATCTAATATAGCTACACATTTCTTGGTCACAATGGTTGGTTTTTTTCTTTAATTTGTTATCTCTTTGTAGTTCTTGCCCACTAGTGAAGAGAATGGACTACTACAAGTAGAAAAGACGTGTGGATAGGAAGGAGCTTGTTTTGCCAAATCAAATTGTGAGCAATTGATTTCTAGTGATTTTTCAGGTTGGTTTTTGGGAGCTGCTTATATCATATCTGATTGTCATATATTTTGGTTTATGATCTCTAGAGATACGTCAAGTACTTTGAAGCACCTTAACATACATCAATGGTGAAGATCAGCCTGGGCGCATGCATTCTTTTGGCAAGATGGCATGTGATAGTGGGAACCATGGTATTCTATTTTTTATAAGTTTTTTTTTTAATTTTTTATTGTAATGCCTATTTATATTCGTACCCTGGATGGATAGAAGTTGTGATAATACCTACCATTTAGTCACTTTTAGAGTATATGTGCTTATTTTTTGTTTCATTATGCTGTCAACAAGGCTAGTAACATGGAAGTAATAATTATCTTGGATAAAATTCTATTTTGTAGAAGTATTCAGTATCTTGGACAAAATATTTGTTCATTAGTTTTCCCAGGCGATGATGTATTAAGATCTGTTGAATCAGCATCTGTTGATGTTAGCGGGATTATTAAAGTGGGTTAAATTCTATATCAATTTATTTAGACAAGTGGTCTGATTTTATTAGATATGCGTCTTGGAATGGAAATATATATGATTTTTTTGTGTGGAAATATATGGTTTATGCATCAGCTGTTGCTCCGGTTTGAAGTTCAAATCCTTCTTATTTATTATCATGCATCAAACTAAGCAAGAAATATTCTACATACCTCCCCTTCCACATTCCATTCAATTCTGGCTCTTTTTTTTTTCTTTTTTTGATTGGAGTAGCAAAAAGATTGTTTTTACCTTTTTTTTTAACCTGAGAAATTTACTAAAGTTTCAAAACTATATATATATATATATATATATATATATATATATATATATATGATATATATGTATTTATACACGTGTATATATGTAAAATCTAGGTAAAATTTTCAAAGAAGGTCTTCTACATCGTATAGTAGTCATTGGAGCATGTTTATCATGTGTGGATGTCATATTGCTTACGAAGAGAAAGATTCATGGGGATTTTCTCTTATACCATGAGTGGCTTTTAAAATTTTCGCATTTCATGGTCCGGGTAAGCTTTTCTACGTTTAAGTCATTGGCTTTTTGCTCAGAACTTTAAGCATTTTTCTTTCTTTTATGAAATTTGTTCTGGTATCTTAACATTGTTTGTTTGTTTCTAAAATATATAGGCAAAGATCGTGTTCTCTTTGAGGTGTTTTTGTTTTCAACACATATTGTGCGGTGCAGTCCTCTGTATATGGTGGATTATAAAAACTATGTTGGAATCCCTCATTTGCAAAAGACATTCTTTTCAATGGAGGTACTTTGTTTTTCCTTTTAGAGATATCTTCCAATTTATCAAGTGCTTCTATATAATTTATTGGGTTGTTGATCTTGCTAATCTTTAAGTATTTAATGGTGTGTTAAACATTCCAATTCATGTGCCAAGCATGCTTATGTTTTGTTTATGTTTGCTCTGTGGACACCGTATGATAAGATAGTATGCCATCTTGTCCTGGTAATAAAGGATAGTTAAAAGAAGAAGACATTATGGATGCTTTTATGGTACAATGCCATATCCATCTAAATAGTAGGAAGAAAGATGCAACATATTATTGAATATTGGCTGAAAGAAACAATTATTTCTTCCAAAACGTTGATATGCCAAGACCATTTCAGATAATTAAAATCTTCTTGCAATTTCATTTTTTTTTATATTTGCCTCCGCTGTCTTCACTTCTGAGTGATCAATTATTGTCCTTCACAAGTATCACTGGTGCATGTCTGTACAAGTGTTAATGTATTTGAATTTTGCATATATTATTGGAAAACAATATTTAAGCCATTTAGTTTTAGTTTCCAGGTTGCAGTTTAAAAATTGTCTGAATGTAGTAGTCAATGATATTGTGAAAACAATCTTTAAGTAAAGCCTTTTCTTATCCCATATCTAATCATCTTTTCGTATGTGGAATGCATCTTGCAATTACATAATGTTGATCTGTCTCAGTAGTTTGTTCCATTCTTATTCTTCTTCTTGAAATAGAAAGAAAGAAGATGCAACTACAAGCTATATAAGGCTTTGTCTTGTTCCTTTTGAGGTAATATTATAACTTTCTTATGTTGCTCTTTGCGTACTTCATGAATAGAACTGATCACTTAACATAGGCATTAACAATTTTAGGAACTTGATAATGAATTTTCAGCGAACCAACTCTAATTAATTATTTATCCTTTTTGGCAAGTTTTAGGGTGTCTTAAAGAAAGCTCTGTTTTATTTTTGGATATCATGTTCTGTATATCCATTAACTATACCCGAATAAAACAATCATCTATGAACAAAAGGTATGATTTCAAGTATTTAGGTTGTACCACAGGTTACATTTTAGTGTTTTCTATGGTGTATTTTATGTTTAGATTATTAAATTACTTAGATATGTTGTCATTTTGTCTTTCCAACTAAAAGAAGGTAAAACAAAGAAAAAGGCTTCTTCTTTTCTTTTCTTTTTTTATAAGAAGTGGAGGCCTCGTACAATTCCTTGTGGTTTTACCAGTTATGCTAGCTTGTGCTTGGACCTTTTTTTTATCATGATTGGATCCATAACTAAGTAAGATAAATGTTCTAGGACTAGTCAAATATTTGTAATTGAAAACTTTCTTGACATGCTTTTTCAATCACAGCTAACCTAGAAAAGAATGGGCTAGAGATGGTATGTAAAAAGATAAATACAACTAAAAACTATTATTGATGATTTGTGAGGAGGACATGTGAAGTGTGAAAATGTTATTATGCTTCATGTGGGAAACAGTTTATTTTAATTACAACTTATATAAGGATGTTAAAAAGGATCATGACGTGCATTATATCTGATAAAGACCTGGCTCAGTCACTTTATCACGGATATTCATGCATTAGTTTATTCATCCTTTTTTTCTCAGATTACATGTCAGTGACTCAACATGTTAATTACATTTTTGTATAGCTTTCAATCTCCCATTAGTAATTCTTAGCTTATGTTTGTAACTTGTTTAATAATAATCAAATTGAAAATGTTTCTCGTCATTGCATGGATGTTAATTACATCTTCTTCTTCTTTTCAAATTAGATGTTTGTGAATCAACATGTTAATTACATATTTACATAGCTTTTATTCTCCCATTGTAATTAGTAATTCTTAGCTTACATTTGTAACTTGTATAATGGTAATCAAATTGAAAAGGTTTCTCGTCATTGCATGGATCCAATCTCTATGACTTTGGATCTCTTATAAAGTTCTTTATTCATTTTCTGCATGAAAAATAGGTATGTAGGCCAAAACTTATTTTTCCACGGAGCAGTTTGCCAAATGTTCTTGTTCATTAGACTTCCCATCTTCCATAATCAACATTTTGAGAAAGGTTTGATAGAAGTTTTCATACCAAAGCCTTATATCTTTGCTCTTATGTTATTGAGACTTATTGGCTAAACATTTTTCATGTTGAACTTATAGCACATTGGAAGATTCACACCTTTACGTTGAGATGGACATTGAGGAATGCCATCACACAGACACTGTAAGAAATTCTTTCATGTCAACTTTTCTCGTGCATGCATCCAGCCTATTTAATGTTTATATGATTTGTATTTTGTAGAAATAATTTTAAAAACTGTGCTCTTAGCAGTATTATTCCAGCCTATATAATGTTTATATGATTTGTATTTTTATAGAAATAATTTTAAAAATTGTGCTCTTAGCACTATAGCAATTTTTTTTAGGAAACTTAGTTGATATGGTAAATGCAAAATTATTTTACACTTGTTTGATATTCATGCGGCGCCTCTCTACCATTAGCCATCTGTTGGAAGTATGTCTGTTCAAAAATTGCTAGGTAGCACCAAGAATGCGTCTGAATATAAATAGGATACTTGGGGATTATTATGTACTCTTAACGTCTTAACTTTTCCATTTGGTGAATTAAGATTTTCTTGAGTTTCATGGAAACTAATTTAAGTATGAACTTTGACATTTTCATGGAATCCAATTTTATGGTAGTAGTTTTCATTTTTTTTAAAAAGGCGTATTACATTTGATGAAATGCATACTTAGCCTATATTCTAAAAATAATAATTCTCTTCTTTGCGTGTTGATTGCATGTGCAGTTGTACAGAGATCCTAATAACTGATGTATCTCCACCTTATACTGGCATGCTCGTCTTAAAATTACTTAGTTTGAATAACGTGTATCTATTTGACATACCTGCTTCAACAAGTTCTCATTAGCAGCTGTCCATATTATAGCCATCCAGAAACTTCCATGCCAAATCGTTTTTTTTTTTTTGTATTTCAGTACAAAATGTGTCTTGTTTTCCCTTCTTTATTTTCTATATTAAATAAACTGTTACTATTATTTTTCATGTTTGCTCGGTTGTCAAAGAGAAGCATGCAGGGCTTTTGGGATCATATGGTGTTCAAATCAATCACTTCCATAATGAATTCTGGTTTGCTAAAGCAGCTTTGACTTTGATGATTTGCATTTGCTGCCGGCTGATATGGATCCTTCTACATGTCATGATAAATTATTAAGTTGCTGGCAAGATCAACAAAATAATTCTTGTTGAAATGCATCATTATTTAGAGCAATCTTCTAAGCTTATGGATGGCCATATCTTCGACTAGGTTTATTAAAGTATTCTTACTCTTTAAGACTGCTTGAGATGACATCTGGAAGTTCTTTATGCTTCATTGAAAAAAAATCTAAAAAAGAAAGTACAAGCTTGTTTGTTGAATATATCTTTGTGTTCCCTAATGCATTAAAACATTTTGAGAAATTGAGGTGTACTTGTTTATTGGGAATTCTAGTGTTCACCTTGCAGAAAAGTAAAAAAAAATCATTGACTGAAGTTTTCAAGTTGCTATATATGAATTTAAGTTTTTACTACTACAAATACATTTTTTTTAGGTTTTTATTGATTTCATTGGTTTTGCTGGATGACTACTTCTGAATAAGCTAATTTGGTTTCTTGAACAAGGTTTTCATATCTCTAAATCTAATTCTTCTTGAAAAGATAGCAGTGGCCACCACATCTCTAGTTTTGTTGTAGCAATCTTTTCATTCTATAATATCTCTCCATGCTTTAGAATGAATTTTTGCATTAAAACATTTTGAGAAATTGAGGTGTACTTGTTTATTGGTAATTCTAGTGTTCACCTTGCAGAAAAGTAAAAAAAAATCATTGACTGAAGTTTTCAAGTTGCTATATATGAATTTAAGTTTTTACTACAAATACATTTTTTTTAGGTTTTTATTGATTTCATTGGTTTTGCTAGATGACTACTTCTGAATAAGCTAATTTGGTTTCTTCAACAAGGTTTTCATATCTCTAAATCTAATTCTTCTTGAAAAGATAGCAGTGGCCACCACATCTCTAGTTTTGTTGTAGCAATCTTTTCATTCTATAATATCTCTCCATGCTTCAGAATGAATTTTTGGATTTTCTGCATTTCATAGTTTTGTGCTGTTAACTTAAGGCTTCAACGAGTTGGGTTATGTTATTGTTTTGGTCTTTTTCTGGTTCATGCTTCTGTCCCATATGAGATGATAAAGAGAGTTCAACAAAAGGTTTCTTAGTATACTAGGACTATAGGTTCCTACCAGTTTCTAAAGGAAGAACTGGTGTTTCTGATCGCCTCTCAAGGAAAAGCATCCTTGTCATTAGCAGGATTTGATTTGGGCGAGGGGAGGGAAGGGGAAGGGAAGGAAGGAAAATGATACTTTATTGTTAAATTTTTTTGATCGTATACAAAGTTAGCCTATATACCAACATTATGAAAGTTAATCTATTTAATGTGGTGCTCATTGTTTCATACATCAATGATACCATGTTCTGTTAAATGCATATTGCTTTAGATCACAAGTCGGCGTTCATGTTATATGCATATTTGGTAATTTGAATATCTGTTGCAAAGTTTATGAATTCAGTTAATCTAAGTTCCGCTCATTCTGTTAAGTTTTACAGTTTTCCTATGAACATGGCATCTTGACTTTTCCTTGTACTCTGATTGTAACTAACTAGGGTCTGTAATAAATAATTATTATGAAGTTTTAGTTGGAATACTTATGATTGACCTTGCGATTTCAACTTCTTTTTTCAGGTTTTGGAAATTTGGATGGCTATGTTCTTGCAATATCGTTAGGCCTAGTATCAGTTCTCAAGTGAGCTTTTTTCTCTCTCTAAATAATCAAGTTTCTTGGATTTGGAGGTTAGTGGTAAATTCGCATTTTAAAGAAGATTCATTCGGATCTAAGTTTCGCAGCATGTGCAGATTTCAAGTTGGGAATGGCCAGTTTATTCGGTTTTGGCAGGACAATTGGGCATTGGACTGCCCGCTTAAGACCTCTTTTCCGAGTATGTTTGCTATTTCTTCAAATAAGAGTGGCAAACTAATTGCATTTGGCGAGTTTAGTTCATCGGGATGGATTTGGAATATCCAGTTGAGAAGGAGTTTGACAGATTGGGAATTTGAACAGTGGGCTAATATTATGAATATTGTTTCTAATTTCTGTTTGTCCACAGAATCTATTGATGGTCTGATTTGCAAAGGAGACGGGGGTGGTGTCTATACTGTTAATTCTTGTGTGAAGTTTTGTAGCTCGACTTCCCAAGAGAGTTCCTTTTGGAAGAAAAACTTGTGGAAAGGATTGGTGCCCCCAAGAGTTGAGTTTTTTATGTGGCAAGTATACAAAAGCTGCCAGTGAGGACTGAACTGGTTAAAAGAGGGGTTACGGGTATTGCAGATTTGTCTTGTCCTCTTTGTCATTTGGCTGATGAATCTTCTTCACATTTATTTTTCTCTTGTGCTGTGGTTTGGTCACTTTGGAATAAATTTGAGCAATATTGGAGTCTTAGTTTGGTTCTTCATGAGAATGCGCAGAAGTTCCTCCAAGCTTGGGAAGAACTAAATCATAACTCTGCTATTTGGAAGAACTGGTTAAAAGAGGGGTTACGGGTATTGCAGATTTGTCTTGTCCTCTTTGTCATTTGGCTGATGAATCTTCTTCACATTTATTTTTCTCTTGTGCTGTGGTTTGGTCACTTTGGAATAAATTTGAGCAATATTGGAGTCTTAGTTTGGTTCTTCATGAGAATGCGCAGAAGTTCCTCCAAGCTTGGGAAGAACTAAATCATAACTCTGCTATTTGGAAGCTAATTCCTGCTGTTGTTATTTGGACTGTTGTTATTTGGACTGTTTGGAAAGCTAGAAATGATATTGTGTTCGAAAGAGGGATTTTTGACCAGACAAACCTATTCTTTATAGCAAGAGTTAGGCTTGCATCTTGGTTCTTAGCTAAGTTTGCTGACACGATTATTTCTATGGATTCTCTTATATGTGACCCTTCCCTTGGGGACTCTTGTTTCCCACTCAACAAGTCGATTGTCACTTTCATCCCTTGGTTACTCCCTCCTAAGGGTTGTGTTAAATTGAATGTGGATGCAGCTACAAGTTTGGATTGGAAGAGTAGTGGAGTTGCGGGGATTCTAAGAGATGAGGAAGGTCTTCTTTTAGGCTCTTTTATGGAAGCTATTGGTCCGGGTCCGCCTATTTTGATGGAGTTAAAGGTTGTTCAGAAGGGATTGCATTTCTTTGATGCAGTGAGACGAGGCATTAAGGGTCGGTTGATTATAGAAACAGATTGTAAATTGGTAGTGGAGTGGGTTAGATGGGACTTTGTGTCCCCAACTTTTTGTCTTTATTGTCAGGGATATATCAGTCGAGAATAAAGAAGTGGAGGGTGTTATTAGATGGGTTGCAAGGACAGCCAATATTGAGGCTGATGGGTTAGCTAAGTCTGCTATTGGTTAATTACAGTGTGTGTAGGGGTATTTTATTTTGGGTTATAACGCTTGTTTGTAAAGGTCTTTTATAATTTATGTTTCTTATTAATGAAGTATAAGGCACTCTTTTCCTCCTTCCTCTGATAAAGGAACTCATTTTGAGTTCCTTAATCATGAAGGGATTTTTTAATGAGGCCTTCAATTCCTATAAAAAAAAAACATAGCATTGGGTATATATTTAGTTGAGATCAATATCAAGTAAAGTTACAATTTTTACATGTCATGGATTCTTGTTCTTTTATTCCTTCCAGACCACTAGTAAGCAGATAACATGAGGATTGATTTTGTTGTCGCAATAGTTTACTTTCTCTTAAGCCTTATTCATATATTCTTATCTACATACATATCAAAAACATAAAACAAATGGAAAGTTCACTGCATACCATTAATGGGCTCCTAACCTGCTATACAGGTATGTTATTCAGATTTCTAATAAAATCCATGAATTAAGAATATGCTCTTTTGTCTATTAGCCTTTTTTTCAATAGACTGTAATGTTGCAAGTGCTGAAGGTACTCCTTACAGCTATAGCATCCATGAAGTTCAGACTTTAGAAGTAAATTGTCTAGGATCTAGTTATCTCGTTTATTGTCTGGTATATGAGCTGAGTCAATTTGTAATTTTTCTAACTGAAATCGCAGTCCATGGGGAATCTTTGCTGCTGCTTCTGATAATTTCACCTCAAAAGCAGAAGAAGCTTCCTCAGTGGACCAAAATGATAATGGAACAAGTTTAGGGGATGCACTACTTAAATGTGTCAAGAATGCCACATTTTCATCTATAAAAGTTCGTAAAATATTTTCTGGTGGTGCTGATATCAAGGTGCATCTTTTTTATTTGTTGTTGTTTTGATTCATTTGATTTCAAGGTCTTAAGTTTTATACGATTATCCAGACATTTGCTTTAGTGAAGTTTCTTTTGGTTTTCTTGGTTCATAAGATGAAAATGTATATGCTTTATAAGGTCCCTAAAGGTACTGTTGTATTTTCTCATTATTGCCTTTAATTGTGAGATAGTTATTGCTCATTCATTCACTAGTTGACATTTATTTTTTTCTTCCTTTCTTGAGTAATAGACCTTTGAGAATATTAGCAATGAAATGAAACTCAAATAGAGAAGTACCATGCTTAATCTAGATTTTTTTATTCAGTTCTATTTATGTACGTTCCAATTACATTTATGGATCATGATCAGTGGGATCTGTATGATATTTTTCTTCTCCCGTTAACAATTTGTTAAAGATATTGCTTTGGAGTTTCATTCTTGATATGAGAATAAATAATGTGGATGCTGAGTTCTTTCATAATATTTTCTTGTTTGTTCTACAGGTTTCATAATATTTCAGCCCTTCAACAAATTCGGAGACGATTACAAACTTCAACTTTGGGGACTCATTCTCTGCCAGTACTACTATGCACCTAGTATCACGCGTTCAACCTCCATCAACAAACTCTCAGTTTCCATCTCAAAAAATGTCAACGTCAACGAGGGTTAGTATGTATGGTCAATCTATGCAGCCAAGTGTTAATCCATATAGTCAACCGTCACAACCCGACGCTAATCATTGCGGCCAACACTCAGAGCCAAATACTAATCCATATATTCAATG